TCCCAAAGTAATTCCATGTCTAAATTCCTTCTTAGTTTATTTTCAATATTATGCTTAATCTTCTAAGGGGGTTGAGTTAGGTAATTTTGAAGTTGCTCTTTCGCATATGTTACTCATTGTTGAATGACACCAAAACTATTCCTGTTCCATTTTCGAATAGCACTGAAGCATGTTTGAAGCTTCCTAAGAACTTGGATCCCACCTTGTCTTTCAAATGAAGGTATGGATTGCCAGACCTCCTAAATGACCAACATACATTCATTGTGAGTAAGTCCACAAACTTTTGAATTTGAAAGGTCACTTACCTATTCGGGTTTGAGTAAACCAATATCACGGGTCCATGATCTAACCCATAGGCCATTTCATTGAAAATTGCTACCTCTAGGAATTTTTGTCTCCACTCTACTAAAGCAAAAAATGGTTAAGGCGCTCCTAAATTCGATCCATCCTTGGTCTTTGATTATTCCAAGTGTAGTTATAGCCATTTGCTCTAAGGTCAATCAAACCACAAACATCAATTGTCTCTTTGAAAGCCGTGGCCCACTTCCTTTTAATGGGTCTTCCTCCAAACTTCTTAGTCTAATAAAGGACTTTATTTAAATACCCTACTACTAGCCATAAGGGGTAGTTAATAGAAACTCATTACCAAACCCTCTGTCTTAGCTCCTTTCTTGGCTTACCATAAACAAAGGTACTTTTGCACCAGATATCAAGGGTAGGAGTGGTAAAATGACAACCTATAATGTTTCATGATGCATATATCACTTAACCCAAATACTGGTTCGTCCAACCAACCAAAAGGTCACCAACAATCCTCTTAGCTTCCATTGCAAAGTGGTTCGAAAATCCCCATCTACCTAATAAATGAGTTAGCTTGTGTGACAGAACCTTTAACTTCATTAGAAAAATGATCCCGGGGGCATGATCTCTAAGATGAGATTGGAGGGCTCTAATTGTCGAGGGTTGCCCCAACCCTTGGTAGTTCAAAATTAATGTTTTTATTGCTCTAAGCAACCCCGATGTACTGCTGAAGTTGCCTCTTCTATATTTTTTGAAAAAGTTTTTGGTAATTTGCAACATTTACTTCCATATGTGCTTGCACTAGTCAAGGTACTAACATCATCATCATTTGGATTCATCTATCTCTGGGACTAATGTTTCAACTTTAATTGGGGTGACAACCTTTGCGTAGGAGAGTTTTGAACATGTAATCTGCTTGTATTTGGAATTTGTTAGTCATCTTGTGATGGGATTGGATTTGGGTTATGTATTTTATAGGAATTTGGCATTTTGTCACTGACTCTAGCTTTCTTTTTGGGTTGGTCCTCCAAGGTTAAGGCTGGCTTCTTTAAAGGTAAGCCATTTTCTTTTATTAAATTGGTTTTAATGGGTAGGGGGATGTGTGGCTGGTGTGAAGACATTTATGGTTGGTTTCATTGGGGTTAGTGATAGACATTGACAAAAGGAGGATGTGAAAAGATGAATGAGGTCATTTATTTGTGGATTTAGGGAGGACCCACCCCATGAGGGGAAAGGGTTGAGGCAGCCAATATTCGGTGTGATAAGGTTGTCGGTCTTTGGGGCATTGTTGTTGGCAAGAGAATCACTGACCTTGTTAACTAAAGATTCCAAAACTTTTGTCTACATCCAGCTTGTACCTTCCTACATATTTAGTGTATCATCATACAATAATTCTTTCCTACCACGTGTCATTGATTTGCATGCAAAGTCTCCATGTCCAAAACCTCTAATTCTGTATTCCTCTTCCTCCTTTCTTCTTTATCTTTCTTGAATCTATCTCCCTTGGCTACTCCACAATCCTTGTTTTTTGCCTCTAATTCCTCTAAATCCCATTCAATCTTCAACTTATTTTTAGGATTAAGGTAGTATTCAACTCAAACCCAAAGTCCAAAGGATCTCGAAACATACATTCTAGTAAATTTATAGTTGTCTTCTTCATCTTCAGCATCAGACTAGTTTGATTCTTGTTCTTCTTGATCTCCTTTCTTCTCTTGGGGTAGTTTAATTCATCATGTTCCAAGTATCCACGCCTGTAACAGAAGGTTGGTATCCATACCTAACATCAATCCATAAGGTTGGTAATCTTCCACTCCAACTCTAGCTTGTTTGTAATTTCTCCACTCGTTCATGTCTAATTCTAGTTGGATTTTGATAACTTCGCTAATAAGACCTCCGAATTGTCACACCATGCTATCAAACCTTTGTCCTAGTGGAAGCCAGTGTAGTTGAACCCATATGTTATAGTGATCCAAAGGAACTTAATGAATGCCCAATCCTTTCTCATATCTGACTGTAGACAATCAAATAGTTGGAGAAAGACCATGGCCCTTTATCACCTGTAATGCATGTTTGAAAAGAACAAAAAATCTATCTCCAATGGGTTCATTGATTTTCATGTCATTTCTAGGGCTCCATGCCCGGGTAAGCATGTCCCTCACTCCTTAATGATTGACAATCTTTGTTGTGACAACTTTACAAAACGACTGTTCGTTCCCATTCTACAAACTCCGTTGTCCCTTGCTTGAGTAGTGAACGTAGTTCACGATAATATTCCTCAATGATTTTTTCTCCCTTTGCCAACCTGATAGCTTGGGCATACATTGAGCTCTTTCCTTCCATGGATGTTGATTGGCAAGATTAAGAAGAAATAGTAAATGGTGAAGAGACAACTCATCAGAAATAACATTACTAAGACAAAACTCTTGGACATAGGGAAGCCTCTACAAGAGCAGAACTCTAAAGAGGAAAGGAAACATTTGGAGAGAGACATCCTTACGAATAAGGTGGTAAGGAAATCATAGAGTCAGCTTTTGAGTGTAATGTTTTTGTTGGTAGAAAAGGGTAGTTTGATGTTGCAAAGCATCAACATAAATAAATAGGATGAATGTAGGAGAAATGTGGAGGATTAATAATTTTAAAAGGCCAAGGCTTTCATCATATTCAAGTGTAATTGGTGCAAAACTGATAGATGTAATGCCAACTAATATATACTACTTTGGAACCCATTAATGTAGAATTGGTATGATCCAATGAGAAGTGTAAGAGGGTAACAATGTGTTATGAAATGTTTAGAGATAATCTTAGGACTAGTTGGATATTTAATTTGGGTTAAAAATTTTCTTAGTCAAGTTGCTAATAAGTAAGAACTTAAATGCTTCTTTATTGAGATGGCCAAAAAAATAATGAAAAATCAAAGTTGTGTTTTTTAATGGAACTTTGCATAGGTTTTCAGAATGATAGATTATATGGGAGATTTGACTTAAAAGTACTTAATTTTTTTTTTTACACATGAAAGAAAAAAGACGAAAACAACATCATGAAAAAATTTGCCAACAAACACATCTGTGCCCCACAAACGCCCCACATGTACATCTCAGCGTGTATTGAGAACATCTCTCGAAGTTGTCAATGGGAGATATCCCCAATACACGATTGGAATATGTTGTGGCCTGTGGGGCATAAACGTGAGTTTGTCAACTAGTCCATGGATTAGCGTAATTTACAATAGCCACCTAAGGTAAATATTTATCCAAAAAAGTCTATCTACTATATATAGAATAGAGGAGAAATCCCATTGAATCCCACCTCACAAATTTTTACTCACCATAGGCTCACACTAGGGGTGATCATGGGCCAGAGCGGGCTTTGCACTTGTGATAAGTAAGGGCTAAAGCTTAGGCCTGGGCTCGGCCCATCCTGGGGTTTTGGGCCTGTAACATAAGTCCTAGCCCAGGTCTACATGGGCCCAAGCCAAGCCGGGCCTGATTATGGGCCAATGTCTTTCATATATAAAACATTATATATCTATAATATTTTATATTAAATAACATAACATGCATATAAACTTTTATTTTATATACTATATAATATAAAATATTATATATAATATAAATTATACATGTCATGTTATAATATTTATATAAAAAATATATAATACAATATAAAATAAAATGTATATATATGTATATATTATACACAAAATGTGTAAGTTTAAATATATACGGACTGGTTTGGGCTTGAAGTATTAAGCCCAAACCCGGCCCTAAAATTTGTGGGCTTGATATGAGCCCAGGCCTGAATCGGGCCTGAACACAAAACCCAGGCCCAAGCCCAGAATTTCCAAACTAGGCCAGGCCGGACTGAAATGATCACCCCTAGCTCACAACCCCCTTATATTGACATCAATTCCCCTACTATCATTGTTCCCAACTATATGATGAAGTAAGTTGGGGATAAATGAAGATATCATATAATAAATTGTCAAATTGTCCACCGTAAGTACTCGGTGGCCATCTATAATTTACTCCATTAAAAAGAAAACAAAGAAAAAAAAGATCAATCACTTCTTTTTGAAAGCCTAAAAAAGTTTACCCTAATTTATGATTAAAAAAATAAACAAGACACCTAGATTTAGTTTTTAATAAGGTAAACTACATATAACCGGGCCACTCTTTACCTAGGGGATTGTAACACTTAGTAGTGGGCATTGAAAACATTATCCATGAATATTAACTTACAAGTATGGAAAATATTTTCAATACATAGTAGCATGTGCGTGTGAGGCGCCCTATGTGAGGAGTAAATGTGGTTTCCTCCAAACCAGCTCCTGCAACGCAGGGGCCCACCAGCTAGTGTCGTTTATAGCAGGGGCAAGGTGTTGGGATACAAAAGGGTTCAGGGGGTCTATGTCGCAACAAAATTTAGGGAGGGAGGCTAAGTGTTACTACTCTCTAAGTAGTGGGCCGCTGTCTGTAATTTATCCTTTCAATAACTGGATAAGATGTGGATAGATCCGATCCGAATACGACTCTTTTACAACCCTACTTGCAATAGGATTATTTGAAAAGGAATTCGCATTCTTAAATCGCAACCCGGTGAAGTCACGAAGACGAGCTGATTAACGGAGAAGTGGCCTACCGCCACAAGGAAGAATTACCGAACGGAAATAAAAGAGCGCGTCTTTAGCCACTTCTGTAAGTCTGAAACCCTAGCTCCCACTCCGTTTTCTGCTGTGGTTTCGTTGTCATACTTCTGCGCGCACTCGTTTCTCCTTTTTGTTTTCTTGTTCTACTTCTCTCGGTCGGCAAACGGGATCTGCCCCTTCTTCTCTGTCTGCAATAAGTAACCTTCGCCTATCTTCTTCTTTTTTATGATCACCCTAGAGTTATTTTTCTTTTTCCCCTTGTTTCTGCAACTGCGTTTTGATTTTTCAACGATTTGCTAATTTTGGCATGCCTTCTTTTATGTTGCTATTCATACTTCATCCTTTAATTAATAAAAAAGGATTATTTGCATCCTGTTAGTTAAATTTGATGTTTGACTCTTGTTAAGTGGTTTTGTGACTTATAAATGGTTGGGGCTTTGTTTCATTTCGTACTCTGCAATTGCTAACAGGACTGGTATCAATTTCTCTCTCTTTCTCTCACTCTCTCTCTCTCTACAGGTAGGGCTTTTCAGCGTAGCCATGGCTGCTGCCACAGTGGTGCCTGCGAACAGGACGGGCCGGAGAAGTGGGCCAGGACCCAGCGACGATAACATAGAATTTGAAACGAGTGCAGGCGTGGAAGCAATCACGTCGTTCGATCAGATGGGCATCAGAGACGATCTTTTGAGAGGAATATATGCTTACGGGTTTGAGAAACCATCGGCTATACAGCAGAGAGCAGTGCTACCCATCATCAAGGGTCGTGATGTCATCGCTCAGGCACAGTCTGGTACGGGGAAGACCTCCATGATTGCCCTCACTGTCTGCCAAATGGTCGATACCTCCAGCCGAGAGTGCGTTCTCAAGCTCCTCCTCCCTTTCATGTTTCTTTTTGCTCTCTTTCCTTCAGTTTTATTTTACTTTGTAGAGGTGTGAAATTGGGCTTTTGTGTGTAAGATTGAAATCCATAGTTGTCAAGGTGCCTAGGCATTTCTAGGTCACAGTGGAAAGCCTAGTTGACACAAAAATTTACATAGGAAGAAACTAAAATCTCGGGTAGTTCCCTAATTTTACATACCGATTAGCAAGCATATAAATTGAAAGAATGGTAATGTTCCTTACTGATAGCATTTATCTTCCGCTCAAGACATTGCAAGTCATTGCATCTAAAAGACAACAAAGCTGAAGAAGTGGAGAAGGAAGACTTTTAGGGAAGTGGAACAGAGGAAGAATGAATATTTAGAAGCAATATTGAAGGTGGACAGAGCTGAGGATCAAGACTAAATATCCAATGGGGAGAAGAAAAAAGAGAACAAAGGCTAAATTAGAGTATGATTATCTAGCTCACCAAGAAGAAATTAAGTGGAGGTAGAGGTCTAGATGTCTATGGCTAAAATAAGGAAATAAAAATACCTCTTTTTTTCACAAGGCGGCAAGTGGGAGAAGAAGACAGAATTACATTGAAATTTGAATAGCTGAAGGTGGGAGGGGAGTTAATGCTGGGAGAGGGGAGAATCCAGGACACCACCATCAGTTATTGTGATGCCTTATAGAAGGAGAATTGACGCTTCAGGCCCAAATTGGAGGGATCCCTCAAGCTTTGAGAGCTTGACAGAAGAAGAGGCTAGGTAGCTGGAGAAGACTTTCTCATAAGAAATCCTAGAAGCTATTGGTGAAATGGAAGGTGCCAAAAGCAGTGGGGCTGGATGAATTTCCTATGGAATTTTATAGATGGTGCTAAAAGCCTGGAACTTATCAAAGATGATTTGCTAAAAGTGTTCGAGGAGTTTCACAACAACAGGGCATTAGAAAGGAGTCTCAACTCCACTTTTATAGCTCTAATATTCAAGAAAAAAACGGTACAATGGAGTTAAAAGATTTTAGATTTATTATTTTGTCTGGCAGTGTCTACAAAATGATAGCAAAGGTGTTGGGGAGAAGAATGAGGAGGGTAATGTAATTGATAACCTTTGAGTCATATCGCGTTTTTGTAGATAGAAGGCAAATTTTTGATGGGGTATTGGGTGGCCAATATAGTTAATTAACTCAAGACTTAGAATGATAGAAGTGGGGAAGTAGGGATATTGTTGAAGGTGGACATGTAGAAGTTTACAATAATTTTAAGTTGGAGATTTATAGTCCACATGCTGAAGCAGTTCAACTTCTGACAAAATGGAGGAACATGGGAAAGGTTTGTATAACTATGGTTAGTTTCTTGGTTATAATTTAAGGAACCACACATGGAAGAATCCCTAAGATAAGGGGCATTAGGCAGGGGAGCCCTTTGTCCCCATTTTTATTTATATGTTGAGGCACAGACTAGAATGGTGAACAAGATTGTTGAGGGAGATTTTCTAGAAGGCTTCAGGTTGGGGGACGAGAAGGGCAACATTGCTTTAATTTGCAAATGATACGTTAATCTTTGCAAAGGCATCCCTAGAACATATGGTAAAACTTTGCGTTATCCTAACATGGTGTGAAGTAGGGTGATCATTTCTACCCTGTCCTTGAAATTTCTGGTTTTGAGCCTAGA